CCCCAAAACCCCAAAACCCCAAAACCCCAAAACCCCTAATTATAAAGAACTCGTTGAAAATTCCAATATGAGCTCATGTGTTGCAACTCCCTATGACTAACATGAAGATTATTTACATCAGAAATTAGAATGAAACTCAAATATTTTAGAAGCTTAGAATCATTGTTACTCTTCCTCTTCGTCTAGAGCCGGAATGGACGTCCTTCAGAATGGACACTCGAGTTTCCTCCTCATCCATGCCTTTAGGCAAGACGGATGGTATTTGTGACCACATGGTGTCTTCATGTACATATTGGAGCTTGAATCTGTGGTCGTTCTTCTGAACAAGAATCTTGAAATTCCACTCCTGGTCTGAGAATCAACTTGGGTTTCTCCTTCTTCGGAGAAGGTGAGAGGGTTAAGACAGATTCAGCAAGTTAGCCCTCCATCAGAGTTGTTTCCTTCCTCAAGATCTTCATTGAAATTTTTATAGTAGTTGTACTCATCCCAAAATCTTCAAAATTTTGGAATAAAGAATCTTGAGCCGAATTTGCGTTGTAAGTAGAGGAAAAAGATTTGAAAAACGACATAAGATACAAAATATATAGTCCATTTGTAATCAGATTTTAGCTCCATGACATTTGAAGAACATCCCTTGATGTACACAGCAAAGAATCACTGGGTTACCATCATTGCAGTAGCATACAGCATGCTAGGTGTGTTCCTTGACTTATTTATAGCATTTTCGATAATCTGAGGGAAAAGAGTACTTCCGCATAAAAGGAACAGCGTAATATTGCTTCCAATGATTCTTTCAAGAGTGAGCAGACTCATTAGGGCAATTAGGTAGAACTTTATGTAGAAGGTGATCAAGGCTCTTCTTACAGCCTCGTTTCCTTGAGAGAACAGTTCAATATTCTTTGCTTTCCAGCAGATCAGGAGCAATTTTAATTCGAAAATAAATCATAAAATAAAGTACATTCAGGCCGAAATTGCAAAGTATCCATAATCTTGTAACTGAAGAGCGTAACTGAGATAGATGTTAAACAATCAAAAGTTCCAGATGGTGTTCCATGACAAAGTGGTCATGGAAATCCTGTTTGCAATCGCCTGGTTCTGCTCAGCCTCATATCATTGCTTATTTGTCACATATCAGTACCCAATAAGCAGGCATGATAAGATAATGACGTAATTGAATACTCTTCTTTTAGAGATAGCAAACTTGTTAGGATACTCAAGGTCAAATGTTAATTTTTCAGGGAAGCAAGACCCATCAGAAGTCAGCACAATGTTACTCTTGATATTCTTCAAATCGCTGAAGTCGAAATTTCCTTGTATATCAGCCTGGCAGTTATGGTCTTGAGTAATCGAATAAAGTCTACCATAAGATACCTCCACGCTTGCATTCTTGTGGTTCACTACAATAGTGTTATTATCTGTTCTGATATAGATCTCTTCAAAAAAGACCTTGAGATAAATCACCTGGTCTCTGTACTTTCCGTCATGGAGAGTGCTATCAAGTTTGAGTTCTGGTAGGGTAGCACCTTCCTTATGATAGACCAACTTAGACTTGACTATCCCTTTAATATTGTTCAAATGGGAGCTAAGTCTAGCCCTATCTTTTTGTTCATTAAGACTCCAGGTACCTCCGAAGGTCTTTGACTCAATATTTAAGATCTCTTTTCTTCTTTCTGTGCTGTTAAGCAATTGAAGCTTGCTTTCAGGGCTGCTAGTTTCTCTAAATCATGTTAGAACCTGACAACTCAAGCTGAGTTTTGATGCCGACTTCAATAAGGTTAATACTACTAACAACTATTTTTGATTGGTACAATTTACTGAAGAATAAAGATTTCGTTAAATTAGGAATGTGGTAGGGTCACTAAGCTGTGAGGATTAAGGCAAACGTCAGAAAACTTTAGGTGGAAACCTCTTATTTGCAATAAACCCAACATGAGGGATGAATTTATATACCTTTCTTGTTCATTCTCTGTTGGTGGCTCCGCTGCCACATTTTCGTTTGCAATTTCCTCGCTGACCGGAGAGAGATTTCTGAAATAATTAGAATCCCAATTTTGATCGCTTTCTGAGGGCTCGAGAGTGAAGTCTATAAGGGTTGGTCAATCTCAAAATATGAAAAGAAGCTTTAGAGTCACATGATCCCAGAGTATTACCAAACTATAAACATTCTATATCAGGAGAGCTTATACTAGGTGGTTAATGTTTTGGCAGAATTTATAGGTCAAATTAAAGACGGAAAATAAGGTGTAAATTTTCCTACATAGGAACAACCAGCTGCTGTTCAGTATCTGCCAAAAATAGCTACTTTTCGAGCTATCGAATATTTTCTGATCTAAACACATATAGATACTTTAGTAAAAGACTTCTTGAAATGCAGAATAGATCTCAGATATTTCTCCATTATCCTAGTCAAAATGAGCCCAATTAATTCGCAATTTCGGTGATAAAAGTAAGTAAGATGTCCTGTATTGGGCCTCATAGCCTTTACCTATGGTCTTACCTTCATTAATAGCCCCTAAAGAACCTAGAATACTTCGATTTTGGAGCAGATTTACTCCGAGGATGACTGCACTCAGGCAGAAAAGAGCTGCCATGAGCATTAGCTTGTACTTCTCTAGCATTTTCTTAGTCTTATTATTTATTATATATTCAGCATGAACATTCACTTTCGGGGTTTTGGGGTTTTGGGGTTTTGGGGTTTTGGGGTTTTGGGGTTTTG